AGGCATTTTGAATTCAAGTCTCCGTTTGATAGGCCTTTAACGAAGCATGTGATGGCCTGAAGTGTTAGCGACAAGTGGGCAGGAAGGGGTCTGAAAACACATTCAGCCAATTTAAGCAGTACGCACAAGGCGAGGATTGTTTCACTGAATCGCATACCATTTGGAGATCGGAACTGGGAACTGGGACTAGGGACTAGAGCCAACCCAACTGCAGTTATGGATGCGATCCTCCATCGACCACCACAATGGCCAAGGTGATGTTCGAAAAAATGAAATTAGGGACCAACACAAAGGCGAACAAAGCGATGAACTGGTCATTTCGCACGCTGGGCCATTCATACAAAATATACCATTTACGCTAGCGGGAATCGCCTTGGCATTTGGAATAAATTGCGAATGAATCGACCGAGCCTGGTTTTCCTGACCGACCTAGGCCCCCAGCTGTGAAGGAAGTAGGAAGTGCGCAAGGAAGTTGGCCGCACCAAACTGAGTTGACCAACTGACCCGACAACTCCTGAACTCCTAAACTCCCAAACTCTGACACAGTGGGAAGTGCAGCTCAAAAAACGACTTGGAAAGACCAGGACAGGCAGGCGGAAAACCCATTTGTCAAGTTCCGGGGCGCTACTCACCGAGATGCTACAGCTGCACAGAGGTACATATGGCTGCACAGATACAATGCGCAGATACAATGGCGGGACGCATCTCACACGTCCTTGCCCATCGTCCTCTTCGATTAGCCAACGATCCTGAGAATGATCCAACCTCTCTTACCCTTGTAACTTGTTATTAAGCGCGACAGAAAGCTGCAAGGGAATTGTATTTCAAATGTATTCATTTGTGGCATGCAAAATCGATTTTTTTTGGCAAGCAATAAAATTGCTTTTAAACTTTAAAAGTGAAACTCTGATCAAGCCGAACAGCTGAATGAGTTTGTTTATCCCTAAGCTGACTTAAGCCCCTGATGGATTGACTAAAATTGACTTCGGATTGACTCGAGAATGGAAATCTTCTTCTCTCGCTCGTTCGGGATCACAAGCCACCCCAAAGGCGGAAGAATATCTAAACGACAAGCCGACTGATCAGCCCGAAGAAAACCAAACAGATAACCAGCTGTATTTGCCGAGATACGAGTACATTCGCATCTCGAAGGTCCTTTTTGACTTCTATGCTGCATGGGCAACGCCTTCTTGTCAGGACCCATCCCCTTACATAACATATTTCTCATCTGAGCAAACAAATTAGCAGGAATCAATAGAGCGGAAGCAGACTACAGGATCACGCCAGCCCAACTGACCAGAGGACAAACCTCTACGGATCAATCAGAGAGCATCCCCTTTGGATGGGGAGATACACTGTTAAAAGACATAGTGCTATGTATGCCAGACCCAAGACAGTTGAAGTTTCTATTGATGAAGTTAGCACAACTTTCACACTTTCTGCAGCTTATTTATATACTTATTATAATACTATACTTATTAAAATCAAGACTGCATATCGGGGATTACGAGTGCACTACGAATATTTCTGGCCGAGGTTTGGTAGAAGCGAGGAGAAATAAAAAACACGCATTTTTTAAACACTGGAAGACTTATGGTTAAGTACATATACTTATTTCTCAGACCTTTTTTCGTGTGCACACACATAGGTGAATGATGCATTTCCGGCGGGAGAACAATACAATACACAATCCCTTTGGCAAAACTCGTTTCCATTTTTTGGTTTTTGTAAATCACTTCCGCGCAACGAATTGGAGACCCGAAATTGTCATGGACGTCAATTGACAACAGGAGCCGGCCAAACGAAGGCGGGAGGGGGGCTGCAGAGCTCTAGGGCTGTAGGGCTATAGAGTACAGAGTAGAGCGTATAGCGTAGAGGGTCAGGTCAAAAGGGAGAGTATAGGCAGATCCGGAAGGTAAATTAAAATGGATGACAATGGGATGAGCGAAGGAGGGGGGAGGGGCTGCAGCCAAACGAGCATTAAATGAATTACTGAATGAATAAGTGTGAATAAGTGCCAGTGGTAGTGCGAGTGCGTATGTGAATGGCTCCGATCGCTCGCATGTGTGTGTGTGACTGTGCGTTCGTGGCACGCTGCTCGAGGCTGTGCAACATGGCCGCCTAATTGTATCCGCGTTAAGCAAACACCTTTTGCCAAATACCTCGATTTTTACGCCTGGCGAGGCGTTTAATTGGGGTTGTTATGTTCGGAGTTCCCGCTCACATACATATACTCAAATGAATGGCCCAAAGTCTTTTGCGCGGTTTGCCTGCGATTAACAACGGCGATTTGTGACACCCAACTTACTTTATTGCATTCGAATGCGAGTGCGAGTGCTTTGGTGCATTGTGTATCTGTCGGATACGGATGCGATTGCGATTGGGCTTGCACGCTGTCACACTTCAAATCACACTGCCAAAGGACAGCTGGTCCTGCATCCTGCAGAGGCTACAATTTGGACCCCAAGGATCTCAACAGCGCAGCTAGACCGTAACAGTGATTTTTACGTGAATTGTACTTACTTAACTTTGAGAATCAATTAAAACAGCGCTAAACAGCTCTATGCAGACTAATTAATGCGCTTTGAGGATAAATGGATTTAAGCAACAACTGGAGATATTGCATTGGCAATTACGTCAGTGACACTTTTAAGTTGAAGAGAACATCTAGAACTATTCGTGTATGTCAGCGACAAATAGCCGTCCTCCACCCATTGCTAACGCAACTAGATTGAAAATGTATTCAGAAAAAAAGAATAAAAATAAACTAGGGAATGCCCAAATCCCTAAAGGCCGAGCAGAAAGACAAGGACAAGGACGAGAGCGGCAATTGAAGTTGTTTGTACTTAGAAATAAGCACAAACAAAGTAGTTTGAAGTGCGGAAAATATAGAAGCATGCATACAAAAATAAATAAATACACAAATAAAGGAGCAGAGGGCTATAAAAAACAAACGAGTTTTTGCGAGAATCGAATTGAATTCGTGTGTTATTCGAATGCCAGCGCACACAAACACAGATAAATCCATGAGATACTAAAACTTCCTGCGGAAGCTAAGCCATAACAACAACGGCGACGCACACAAAGGTTTCACTTTGATATTAAATGCAACATCATCATTAAGCCCAATAACAATGGCCAACAACGACGAGCGCCGGGAAGATGGGCGTGCGCATTATGGCAAAATTTCCCCGAAAAAGTCCTTTGGCGCAACCAAAATTTCCCAAACATGCGCGCCAGCCCGCGGTGCATATATCTCTACTGCTCGCACGCTCTTCCGATTGGCCAGGCTGCCATGACGCGCCCACTTGGACGGCGGCGTAGTCGTCGGCAGAGGTTATTACAAGATAAAATGCTACCCCTCCACTCACCACCTCCATTGCCACATGGAGGCGCCTAATGGTGCGAACGTCACGAGCGGCAGTGGGTGCCCACTTCCAGGGGGCGGATGCTCGTGGACAGGGTGCTCCGAGCACCCTCCTTCCTCCGTATACACACCATGTCCCTATATGCATGTGCACATGGATACACTCGTGTGTATGTGTGTATGTAAATGGGGCCGAGTGCCAACGGACTCCTGCCATGTTTTCAATTGCCTCGGGCTGTCCTGTCTGCTAGTCGTGCTCGTGCTGATTATGCATACTCCCCAACTTTACTTAGGGCCTCTGCGAGTGTCCGGGGTGTGTCCCGAGGCCAGGAGCCTCTCTAGGAGCGACGCCATGTTTTGGCGTGTGAAGGATCTGCACTAATCACGAGTTGGCTTATGGAATCGAATTCAAATTGCACGAACAGCGACACTCCTTGTACATAGGGCCCCTATGTCAGTGGCCAAGTGGTCTATAACAGTTCCGCTGCACGCAAGAAATTTGATTCCCAACGAACGTGCCGTGAAGTAAGCCAAATGGCGAAGTATAATAGCATACCACTAACACGGCGGAGGAGAAACAAGGCCTTCACAAAAGTAACGTATCTACACTTGTTTAAGAAGGACTATCTCAAAAAGGGTTTTCTTAGTTCGCCTTTTCAGAACTGAAATAAAGATTTCGTTAAAACTAATCAAAAGTTACACATGGGCTCTGCTCAAATCTAATCTCCAGAAATCTCTAACCCAACAATGACAGAGATTTTTAGTGACGAATCGATCTGATTCTCATTATTCTCATTTGCATCCCCATGTACCTCAAACAGCCAACTATAGAAAAGCGCGAATGTAATCCCAGCAAGCCCTTCTTAGCGCACACGTTCCTCCATAGGATAATGGCTGATATCACCATCTGATATTATAGTGCTAAGTACCGGTCGCAGGTCGCAGTCACTTGTCCTGCCCACTTGGACCCATCGCAGAGGCGTCACGAGTCACGAGTCGGGGCCAAAAGTTCACGCTCCAGAAGTCCAGAGCTGCAGAGAGCTGATAATGATAAATACAATCAAATGACGCGGCGAATGCTGACAACATCAAGTGCAGAGCGCTGCTGGAAGAGAGCGGCCCAATCCCAGAATCCCAATCTGGGAACGTCAATCCGATGGGTATAAGGAGGTTCGCGAGGCGCTACAATGGCCTCACATCGACTTCCACTTCCACATCCACATCCTCACTCACTCACTCACTCACACACACACACAGCCACACAGAGGCTGCAGCACACACACACACACTCTCACTCAAGTGGCACTCTTGAGAGCGGCAGAGAAAGCAACAGGAAGAGTTAGAGCGGGATGCCGTGCGGCATAAGGACTCGGCTCACATCGTCCGTCTCGCTCTGGCGACGAATGGTGGTTGGTTCTCTCGGTGGTTGAATAGGCCACTCACATTGTTGCCGTATCCTTGTTGAAAAGGACATAAGAAGCCACTTAGCGCGCCCAACAAAGCCGAGAGTCTCTCCAGTCTGGCTGTGTGCGTGTGTGTGCCTGTGTGTGAGTGAGTGTGCGACTATCCGAGTATCTGCGCTATGTACCCAATAGCAGAGGGATGCAGATACAGATATGCACCACATACATAGTGATAGCCAAAGACACCCCGAGCATACGACCTGGTACTTTTCTGCCGTTGGTTGTTGGGTTTTGGTTATTGGCTGTTCTGAAGCGACTTGGACTCGTGTTGAGTTCTTGATGCCTCGTTAGTTGTTGATGACACTTCAGTTTGGAATGTTTAGAGTGCGCTGCTCCGCGGACCCGTGCAACTGAGAAATCGAGAATCGACTCGCGACCCTTGAACTATCGAGCGTTCTCGGTGATAAACATTAGCCTAAATCGAACTATGTGTGGCATTTAAGTTGCCCTAGCAGGACACCCGCTTAAATCTTCGCAGTGCTACCCACTAAATATACACAAATAAACACATTTTTTTTGCGTGCTCCGATCACCGTAAAAGCTCCAAAGTGGCGGAGAAACGCAAAAGTCCGCCCACGCCGCCACCCGCGCCGCAGCGTACCAAATCAAACAGTGGTTCCCCGATATCGCACAGCGATATGACCACGTCGGCCTCCTTGGAGAGGACCCCCTCAAAGCGGGATCGAGATCGCGAGCGGGACAACAGCAGCGGTCTGGGCAGCGCCGGCAGCTTGCCCGCATCGCCCCAAAGCGCGATCACGGTGAGTCCGTCCTCGCCAGCCACGCCGAAGCGTCCGCTACGCACCTCAACGCCCTCGCTGGAGCGGAAGAGGGAGCGCGAGGATCGGGCGGAGCGGGAGGATCGCAAGGAGCGGCAGGAGCGTCACGAGCGGCACGAGCGCGACAGAGATCACGAGCGGTTCGCCACAGTTTTCAGCACCGCCAGCACCACCGTGCCCACGAACACGAGTTCCAGTTCCGGCTTGGCGCCCGAGCAGCTCCGCATTCCGACGGGTGCAGCCGCCTTCAGCGGATTCCCGGGACTCCACAGCATGAGTAGCCTCATGCTTCCTTCGTCGGCGGCAGTGGCTGCCGCAGCAGCCGCCCCCTTTCTGCCCTGGTCGCCCATCCTGCTGCCGCCGTGGAACCACGCCCTCCTACCAGCCGCCTTCTACCCGGCGGCCCTGCGAAACGCTCTACCCGGGTAAGCACAAGGATTCCGAAGGAATAATTCGGGTATCGATCCCCTGGATTGGTCGGGACCCCTACGATTAGCTATCTATTTATTAGGAAAAACATATTTTGGAGATTCGATTCGATTTCGACCTTTAATGGCACTCACAAATCTGGTTAATAAAATTGTAACTGCGGTCAGGATACGGAAAAGTAAGGACATGCCTCGGATCAAAGCTAGCTTACTGACCAAAAATACGTTTGCTTTTCGTTGGTGACCACTTTGTCGAAAGCTGATTTTTTCCATTGATCTATATCGTTCTATCAATTCAGCAATAATGCTAATCTAATGATTGGGAGAATGGATTTCCCAAAAGGCCCATATCCTGCAATCGCCTTCGCCTAAGCTCCGCCAACTCAAAATCACACCCTGCGAGCCTCTGCCTCCGAATTAGATGTATTAGTGTTTAGATCCCATATAGCTGATGGACTTGTACGGCTAATCCTGGCAGCTCTTTAAATTAGCCAAGCCAGGACATAATTCCCCCGCCTCCTTGATCTGGCAAGTACTGAAGGTCCTGGCGGTTGGCGGTTGGGAAATTCTGGCTTGCTGTTCGAGCCTGGCTTAGAAATTCCCGTAGGTGAGAGCCAGGGAAACCCCAATCGGCAGCGACATGTGTACGGCAGACTCGGGACTCAGATGCCGTCGAGATACTGGCGTCACACTGTCTGGCAATGGGATTTCCGCCCAGGAGGACGGGGAATGCCCGTGTGGCCTGGCCACAGCGTGGGAAATTCGCGAGTCTGCGGGTCTTTGGGAAAACTCGAAATGGGAAAACCGGAAGCAAGCAAGCTTGCGCCAACATGTGGCACGACCTGTTTCGCCCTAAAGAGTCCCTACTGACCTGTGCTGACCTGCCCTGACCCGAGCAGGTAGCAGTTAGTTGCGATCCGTAGGAGGCGGATTTGCGTTTAATTGTTGATGGTATTAGGCAAATCAAAACTCGGGTTCTGGCCGGGACTAGGTGTCAATAATCCAGCGATTTGGGTGCACTTATTCAAAGTTAATTCCGGGGGAAACGTGCGCGTTTTCCGCACGATGCACACCCCCACCTCCTTCGCCTCTCAACAGCGGCAAGTGCAGAAATCTGTGAAAGTCAGAGCGCTACAGGTAGTGCAGGTAGTTTCCTTTGCATATCCCGACCCATAGACCTTCCTTTGTCAAACCTTCCGGCGATTCGCCATTCATGCGATTGACACAGGATGTCGCTGCAATAAGCATGAAGCAGGAAAAGATCGTTCCAAGTCCGCTGAGGAGCCATCTTCATCACTCGGGGAGTCATTAATCACACGACAATTAAGCAACTGCACAGAATCTCACGAAAATCATCAGATTTAGGCACCTTTTCTGCCTTCACTTCCTGGAAACTGTAGGCGATTGGGTGCTCAATTCAGTTGCAACTGAATTAGAATTGTATTATAAGGTTATCCTCGTCCAATTAAAGTCAATGATTATATTGATCTCCTTGCAGCCTATTCGATGCCAAGGTGCCGTCGTCCCAACGCTCTGGCTTCCATATATCGGACATCCTAAACCTGGAGGGCTCCGAGCTGAAGAATGCAGCCGCTGCCGCCGCCGCAGCCGCCCAACATGGCAGTGACTTGAGCCACCACTCGGCCACTGAGTCCACCAGTGGACACCGCGGCCAGGGATCTCACACCTCGCCCTCGGCGCTCTCGCCCACGCCAACTGGCGGTTCGGTGGACGAGCAGCACAGTGGCAGCGGAACGGGCGGCGGAGCGGGAGAAGCGGACCACCACAGCACCACCGAGCACCACGCCCCTCCGAGCCATCCACAGCAACAGCACCCGCACCCGCATCCGCATCCGCACCACCAGCAGCAGCACCACCACCCCCACCTCCTCCTCCCGCAGCAGCACCATCAGCAGGCGGTGGCCCCACTCCCATTGACGCACCACCAGAGCGGCGAGGCCCAGAGCCACGCCCACGCCAACGCAGCCGCCGCCCACCTGCTGGCCAGCCACAATGCAGCGGCTGCGGCTGCCGTGGCCGCCGGCCAATACCTGCCCAACCTGCCAAAGAACTTCCCGGGGAGCTTCGGCGACGAGATGTCCTCGTACCACCACATGGCCCAGACCATGCTGCAGCACTCGGGCAGGAGTGCGTGGATCAAGGAGAACGAGCTATACGGTGAGTTTAGATCACACGCGATACCCTTCTGAATCCTGGGCAGGCCAAGAAGTGGGCTCAAACTTCCAATCTTCGGCTGCATTTAACCCCCGATTAACTGGCCAACTAATGATATTGTTCCGTCACTACCCACGACCCACTACCCACTCACGTTGAAGCAGTCGAGCGATGAGGCAGCTGTATTTGCATACCCTGTGGATCCGAGGGATTCACGTGCTTCCAGGGTGTGACTAGCTCTGTTCAATGCTGGCCCTGTTGTTTTTTATTTTCGCTGGCAGTTAACTGCGGATCGAAATGGGTATATAACTTGGAATCAAGGAGCAGGGGTTGGCTTCCCCTTTAATCATGACTAATAGTTTGTATGCGCTTCACACTTGAGGATTAGCCCTGTTGTTTTTCTGCCAGTTGACGTCCTTCGTGTCCTTCGTAGCCTTCGAGTCCGTCGAGTCCTTCGGCCAGGACATTCAATCGCTGCCCGCTCGATCGCTTCTTGTTGTTGCGGCCCAAACATTTCCCATCCTGGAAATTTATGGCACGCACTTCCGCCTCATCCCTTCCCACTTCTGTTATTATTCCTTTATTCCTTTATTGTTTAGCTACAAATTATAGCTGCTGCCCACTTGCCGTTTTTTATTTATTTTTTTTTTGTCTGCTCTTTTTGGGAGTTTCCACAGCTGTGAAGGAGTCGAGGAGGAGTCATTTTGATTATATTAAGTTATTAATTTGTTGAGTTGTCATGGTGAGCGTATGGCTTTCACGGGCAGGGCGACTGATAGATGAGCATTAGGAGCTCCTGCGACCCTTGGATTTGTTGTTTTATCAATGTCCCACGGGGGAATCCCCGGCCAGGTGGAACACACATTCGAGGTCATTATATGCCATACAAGGCGAAAAGAGATAGATTTTTTCGAGGCCATCGCAGCACGAGTTGATTCTAGGATTCTATTTATCTTCTATCTATCTTTTTGATTTTGCGTAGTTGCATTCCAACGCTTTTGGAAAAGGCCAAACAGTGGCGTAAGCCCACTCTAATGCCCCTGCAACCGCAGATCCCGCCCCAGAATATCAGAAATAGCCACACCCGGCGATAAATCACTATCTGCTGCAAGTTCGGAGCTCTTTTGAAAGGGGGCGAACCGGAAGAGCCCCGGCTACCATTGATGTGTTTGAGGTCTGGTTTTTGTGTCGGTCTTTCATTAGGATCCTGGTTACTGGTTCCTGGTTCCTGGTCCCTAGTTTTTAGTACAGGCCCAGGATCAGCAGTCATTCGGCGAGAGATCGAAGCGATCGTTTCAGGTAGACGACAAGGGAATACCCACCTCAGTAGGTACGAGTATATGTATTTGTATGCGATCTCTGTTCGTCTCCGCCTAATTGGCGTTGTTAGGGTGAAACTGGCAGGGGATGGCCAGGGGTTGGTTTGAGGCTGCAGACCATAAAGAGTGCATACATCTGGCATTTGACATTTGGATCGTTTGCGACCGACCACAGCTTCATGTTGCGCCTAATCCAATTGCCGTAGTTGCGATCCTGACTTTCCCCTTTTTGTCCCGAATTCTGCATGATCACTTGGAGGATGTGGAGGGGTGTGTCGCTACATTAATTTACGGCTAAAGAGGTTTTTCAATTGCTGACAAATTCCCACCCAGGTCTCTCACCCTGCCGTTGTCCTGCCATTCTGTGTGTCCATTGTGAAAAATCCAAATAAAATTAATGGCTATCCCAAACAATTTATTCCTCACTTAGCTGCATATTAGGAAGGCAGTTTTCTCTCGGTTTTAGCCACATACTCACTACGAAGAATTGGCACTTAAACCATAATATCTTTTCTTCCCGATTGCAGGCACCCAGCAGCCCGCCAGTCCGGATAGCACCTCCCCAGTGACCTCGGAGGTGTCCTACACCTACATAGGCTCCAATTGCCAGACATCGCCTGCCCTCTCCGGCGACTACAAGAGCTACAGCCGGTCGGCGGATAGCGATGCACTGTCCGTGGGCGATGCCCTGCACACCCTCCACGGATCCTCGGGAAACGGCAATGGGAGCAATGGGGGTAATGGGGGTGCCGGAGGAGCTCCGACGGCCCATGCCCTGCACAACAACAACAATAATACGACAAACAACAATAACCACAGCCTGAAGGCCGAGGGGATCCATGGAGCGGGCAGTGGCCACGATGACAGCCTGAACGAAGATGGCATCGAGGAGGACATCGACGACGTGGACGACGCCGACGGGAGCGGCGGCGGGGACGCAAACGGATCCGATGGTCTGCCAAACAAGAAACGGAAGCGACGAGTCCTTTTCACCAAGGCGCAAACGTATGAGTTGGAGCGTCGGTTTCGACAGCAACGTTACTTGAGCGCCCCGGAACGCGAGCACCTGGCCAGTCTGATCCGCCTGACGCCGACGCAGGTGAAGATCTGGTTCCAGAACCACCGCTACAAGACAAAGCGGGCGCAGAACGAGAAGGGTTACGAGGGTCATCCTGGCCTGCTGCACGGCCATGCCACCCATCCGCATCACCCCAGTGCCCTCCCCTCGCCTCGTCGGGTAGCCGTTCCTGTTCTGGTGCGGAACGGCAAGCCCTGCTTGGGCGACAGTTCCAAGCTGGGAGCCGACTGCGTTTCCGTGTCCTCAGCCACCGCCACCGCCATGCAGAATGCCGCCGCCCATCACCTGGTTGCCCTGAATGGAGCGGCCGCCTATCAACATGCCGCTGCAGCGGCTGCCGGTTTTCACGCCCACGCCCATGGACACGGCCATCCCCACGCCCACGCCCAGAGGGCCGCCTGGTGGCCCTAATATTGCTAGGAACTGGCATTCATGGGGGACTGGGGGCACTTCAATAGGTGGTTAGCTATCCACCAGCCCGTGGAGCGATGAGCCGGAAGACCTGGCCTCCAGCTGCCCAAGGAAGCCAAGTCACAGAATGCGGAAAAGTAATTGAAACATATGCAAATCCCCACTACCTACTAGCGTTTAGTCTCCCTTATCCCTGAGTCGTTTCTGTACATAGTTTATATATATCATCATATATATACCTAAATGACATGCATATATCCGCTCCTGGATATCAGACCAATGCCCATGACAAAAGAAAACTACATGTCCTTCTGAATAAAAAACAATTTGCATTATACTAGTGTCTCTTGTCAAGCGCATTTAAATCGCATAAAATCTAGCAGTAGACCCATTTTTTTTTTATTTTTTTTTAGACCTAAGTCCAAGCCCAAAGATAAAATGTGTACATATATTATAAAAATGAAGCTTAGATTATTTCAAACGGGAAAATAATAATAAGCAATATGCAACTAAATCTGTACTATATACTATAATCAATTCAAGCGTAATAAGTGTTCAAATTTTTTAGACAAAACTTATTGGCCTTTTTTTTTCTATGAATACATATATAACATAGGCACTTAGTCTAACACATATTTTTTTCGTGAGTGTGTGCGTGTATAGAAAGTAAAAATCTTTGAATTTATAGCAAGTAATGAGTTCATAAATTGTAACAAAAAAAACCGGACAGTACGAAGGCAGAGACGGCAAGGCAAATGTATTCAAAATGGACAACAAAGCAAAACATCACTGCAAACAGCAAAATGCAAAGTACATGTCAGAGATTTAATAAAACCCAATTACATACATTAAACAAAACGATTTTATTTTACCCAAATTTACCAAATTTGGGGTGAAGGAACGATTCAATATACATACGAGTATACATCGCTTTAGGAAAGGCCTAAGACCAATTTGTTGATCAATGCATTGAACCTGTTATGTTATAAGAGTTATGGCCCCATGCACTTTATGGCCTTATGGATCGTAAATGGCACCCTCTGCCGCATTCCGTGGGGCGGTGGTCTACGTATCGCCGGGCGTATAAACAAGTTGGACAAACAATAAATATGGTCTTGATTATGGTTGTTAGCTACCGTTCTGCGATTGGCACCGTAATCCGTCCAGTTCGCCTGATTACGGCACCAGAACAGTATTCGACGGGTCGGATCCGATCGGATCGGGTCGGGAATCGACGGATCGACGGATCGGTGGATCGGTGGATCGGTGGATCGGCGGATCGAGAATGAGGGTAATGGCCATAAAGCCAGTGGGGCCGATAACGGGAGCCCGGACCCGGCTGGAAATACGGGGTAATCATCGGATCTCGGCCCGGCAGGTGGAGCACCTTGTCTGGGGGCTCCGATTTGGAACCAATTAACCACCCATACACCCCACCCAAATGGCCGATGGCAAATCAGTTGGGACGATATGGACTGCGGCACAGATATCCCGCTCTGCACCGCTTGACACAGTTGGCACATAAAGAACTCAAAGTCAAGTAGAGGCGCTGGAGTATCTCATAAAATACAACGAGTGCTATTCTAATAAACGGCAAATTAAATTACTCATCAATGGACTACTGGCACTTGGGATAAGTGGACCCACATGCTCGTCCATCCACCTACCTTCGCTTCGATCAGCAGCGAAAATAATATTTGCCGTGTATTAACAATCACCAAATGGCGACCGGCAATAGCGAAGAGGGGTATACAAAATCGAGACCGTTTTACACGGCCCATAAACACATCAACTTTAGCTGAAGTACCATAAATATTGCCCCTCCATATGCCACGGTCTATGGTTGCTCCCCACTCAGTTAATTATACTTTAACGACTTGTTTTTTCGGATCCATCTCAATGTCCCAATGGGTAGCACTGACCACAGAGAAGGCTTTAGCGATCTTCTGATCTCTGAACAGTACAAGTGGCTAGCTGGGGACTAAGTGAGCCCCTACCCGATCCCCCATCACGATTCCCAATCATTGTTCCCCATTTGTCCAGCGGGAACCGCCAACGAATTAGCAGCAGTAAGTACATAATTGCAGCTCCCTTTAATGGGGCCCATAACCCATTTGAATATCCATGAGTGTGGCCATAAAGTCATCGATTCGGCTTATCGACGTTACATGTGTGGCAGGGGAGTGGCAATGATCCAAATACAGCCCCTAATCGTGGCCTAATCATTTGCATACCTGTATCGCGCAAATCGGAGCGGACAGGATGTTGATTGTGCCCGTATACGCGTATATAGTAACTACGAAACCGAGTATATGGCCCCGGTGAGTACATTTCAATACAATTCAATGATCTAGATTAGAGTGGGCCAGTGATATAGCCCTGGGCTGAAAGGCAGGAGCACAATCGTGAAATAAACTAATAATATTTTCTCTCGCCCCCGAACCCCCCACTCCCATCCCCAAAAGTCCCCCGATAAGCCCGATTTCCACTGCCTGTTGTGTTGTTGTGTTGTTGGACTGTTGGGCTGTTTGACTGTTGGACAACCAGCGACGTTTACACGCTGCGCCAAGCTGATTGCCTTCTCCCCGGAATCCCCAGACGCCGTCCCGCTCCTCCGACGATATCAGCGATATGTCTCACAACCGCTTGGACAGTTATTTGGCCGATCGGCCCGATCCGATCCGCTGCGATTCGGTTCGCCCGCCACCTCCGCGTCTGTGATGCCCCACCTGGTCAAGCATGCATGACCGTCATGTCAAGTACAAATGTGCAGCTTATCGCAGTGTTAACTACAACTGAGTTGTTCCGAGGGGTCGGGGTTTCTTGGTGGATTCAGTGGCGTTTAATCTGCCACCTACTTGGTATTTTTCATTACGACGACTCCCGCCTTGGCTCGAATGCGGAGTTATGCCAGCTACGCGTATTTATTACCATTACTTATCTATTTCCGAACTACTATTGTATATACATATATGTAAATTCCTGATCAGCATCGCTATTCGACTCTATCTTCCCCTTACAACTGCACGACCTATGGGAGTGAGTTTAGGAGGTAGTATCTCCAGCTTCCTCTCTCAGGTGCATCGTGCTTCCGTTGGTTGAATAGCGGGTATCTAATAGTCGAGAGCGCCTCCCACAGCGTCCTCTTTTATGATTTCGTAAGAGGGGAATGCTTCGCAGCGAACTTCCAGCTACACGGGATTCTTTGTTAGAACCTTTTCATTTACCCATATCTTTTAATGCCAATTGGGAAATGGAAAGCCGAAATAGGAACTGGAATTGGAATGATCGAGGGCCCCTCCAGACACTTGTGCCCCAAGAACGGTGCCACTGCATGATAGAGCGCGAAGCGTGAAGAGGCATTGCTTACAACACTGATCGGAGGTGATTCTCGAATGGTCGGGCCTTAAACTGGAACTCCTTGAATTTGGCATTGATAAAGCTATGGACGGGTGGACATCGGCGACACAGATATAGTCCAGATACAGATACTGGTGAATCGCGGTTCCAGTTTGTAATGAAAAATTGATTAAGGCAAACATACGAGTATACTCGTACACAAACGCTGACGGTCTGGTCCGATCAAACAATAAATTTATCACAAAATAAACGTGGAAATGAAATACAGAACAAAACAGACACAGACCGAGCCAAATCAGGCCAGGAGCTGAACAAATAAATAAGATTGCAATTAATAAAATAATCGATAAGTGGCCATTCAGCAGCTACACAAATGTGTATGTAGAAGTTCTGACCCAGCCTAAAATTTCCACTGACTGGAAATTCTATCATATTTTACATTGCTCTGGCCAAATACTGATTTCTGACTTCATCCTGGCTGGGCTAGTCATGATTTATAGGCTAAGCCGACGACCTCTATGGTTTGCCAGTCCTCAAACCAAACGTTATTTAGCTGTAGATGCATATTCTAGAATATGTATTTGCCTAGTTGAATGAGTAGTACATGGAAGGGGGGCAAATAGCCATTAGCATGCGATGAGTTGGATGCAAAAGGGAAGGCACAACCCTCCCAGAACCTCTGTGACTCCGTGATTCTGCCTCCTGGCTCCTGGCAGGACTCATGCCCACAGGCCAAATGCAATCTTAATGACCAAACTCTCCGACGAACGCAATGTTCTGATCCCGCCGTGAAAAATGGGGTTTACAAAGTTGCGGGGCGCAGCTCTAATTAGCCAATGCGGGGCCGTAAATCGGGTAAATCGGTGGCAGGGTGGGAAAACCAGTGGGTGGGAGGAGGTGGAAAACTGGGGGTGGGGCAGTGGTGGTGGCAAGGCAAATCAAATTAAGGCGCAAGTTGATGGCGCATTTTACAGTCCTGCTTTTTTGGGGTGGCGGCCGATGGAGTCTGAGGATTTTAATAATGTTGTTGCTCATTTCGCGACCAGCGTCATTATCAGCATGTAATTTCTCATTTTCATAGTCAATTAAGTCAATCACTCGCCCTTTTGGCCACCGCAAGGCCTTGCACAGCTAAAAGTTGAAAACTGAATACTGAACACTGAACACTGAGCACTGAATACTGAATAGTGAAGGCCAGCCCAGAGCTTGGAAAGCCACCCCTGTTAACACGTCGGCGGTGGCGTGTTTCCGTTTCCGCTTTCCACACCTTTTGTTTATTTGTAACGCAATTTAAAAGCGCCGCGCTGCGCGGCGCGTTTATTGCTCAATTTTGAGCAGAGAAAAGGGCATTAGGTATTAGGTATTCATATACAATCGGCGGACTCATCGATGAGCGATGGAGGATGACTGGATAGATTCACTGGGGGTGGGGGTTTGGATAAATATACACCCACCCTCGAGGCAATAACTGTAACAATTTCAAGCACTAAAACGACACGTGGCAGCTGCTTTTAAAATTGAATTTCCTGTCATGTAATCTTGTCCAGAGTCAATTGTTTCTGCATTTCTGTGTGTGGGTTTTGCAACACCCCCTTGTTTTTCCACCCGCACGTGCCGCATTGTGTTGTGTTTTCCTTGTGTGTTTTCGAAAGGTACCCCTTCGCAGTTTGGGGTGCGCCGCGGTCACACTTTCTTATTTATGAAGATGCGGCCAATATGCCGACGATTTGCTGACCCAGTAATACCGAAAGTATACTTTATGGGTGTGAATGAGGTTTTATGCATTCACAGATTGACTTTCTAATGGGGTGTGAAAAGCCGGGGGTGGGAAGCCCGGACGGAAAACACGGCGCTACATGTGCGGGGGATAACAAGGATCTGCAGGTTTTTGTGGGATCTGAAATGCGTAATTAATCGGGGGAGATTAAGCCGAGGTACAATTAATAGAGGATGGAAAGTAATTGAAAAAGCAATATTGTATCAGCACATCATTGGCAAGTTTACATGACGGACTTATAACTTTGAACAAAGTAAATCGATGGAGTATTTGAATTGTATCTTTGTAATAGAGTAATATGTTACTTGGCGCAGGGAAAACTATACCTATATACCTTATATTCACCATGCTATAGCGTAGTCCGCTCATTTTGGAGCGTTTCCCATCGACTCGATGGCCGTTCACATGCCTAATTAGCATGTCAATAAGTCGAAAAGGAAAAAGGAACCAGAAATGATTTTACCCCTAATGAAAGCATTAAGGGAAGGCAGATCGAGGGCAGTTGCATGTGGAATCGCGAAGCGTGCGCCATTAAAAGGCCACGAACATCAATTTATATATTGCATTACCATGATTTGCATAAAGGGCACACGCATACGCATATCTCATAATAAATACATATACTCCCCCTCAGCCGCGAAATCACGGACAAAACAAAGGGAAACCCCATTAAACCAATATAAATTTGCACTCTCT